GGTGCTGGAGCTGGAGGTGCTGGCGCAGGTGGCGCTAGCTCTGGGGGTGCTAGAGCCGGAGGTTCTGGTAGTGGAGGTGCTAGTTCTGGGGGTGCTGGAGCTGGAGGTGCTAGTTCTGGGAGTCCTGGTGCTGGACGTACTGGCACTGGAGGTACTAGTTCTAGGGTTGCTGATGGTGGAGGTGCTAGCACTGGCGGTGCTAGTTATGGGGGCGCTGGAGCAGGAGGTGCTGGCGCTGTAGGAGCTGGTTCTGAGGAGACAAGAGCTGGAGGCTCGCCCTACTGCGTCGCCCACTGCGCCTCCCCACAGCCACGACACCCGTTTCCAAGACCTTCGCCGTCTTGAGCGCGAGGAGCAGGAGCAGTTGCCGCGGGAGAGGGAGGAGTTGCAGCGGCTGGACTAGCAGCAGCAGCCGTCACTTTAGCAGCAACTGTTCCCTCCAGTAAGTGGCCTTCGGGCCCTTTGTCTTCTTTCCTCTCCTCCTGTTCACTCACAGTCTCCTACCGCATATAGTCCTACGTTTCCTCCTTCGGACTCGACGCCGGCTGTTTTCTCTCCTCCTTTGTCACCGTCGCATCCTCCTGTTGTCCGGCACGATTGGACCAGCGGTTGTCCTCCACGTGCTCGGCCCTCGTCTTCTCTTGCCGGCCTCCGCACCGTCTTGTTTTGTTCTCCCCTCGCCTCTTGCTTCGTCTCTCACCGTTTCCTCTCACCCTATCACTGGCTACTACCGTACTGCTCGCCCTGTTGTCTCTTGTATCCTCGACTCTCTTGTCAGCAACCCTTGTGCCTCTACGGCGTCTCTCTTAGCTCTTACTGCCGCTGTCGCTGACTTTGCTTCCACCCGCCGTCTTGACTACGCCACGCGTGTGGTGGGTGCTCCACCTCCCCGTCCTCTGTCTGTCAGGGGTGAGTCTGCACATAGCTGTGACATCCTAGAGGACTGGCAGTTTGAGCTGGAGTTCTTAGCAGCCGCTTCCCCCTCTCTCTGCGCCATGCTGCTTTCCCTTGAGGGAGACCCCGACGCCCTTGACATACCGACACCTCGCACGTACCGTGAGGCAGTGTCAGGGGAGTGAGCCTCTCAGTGGAAAGCGGCTATGGATGCAGAGCTAGCGTCTTGGAGATCCAGAGGCACGTACATTGACGCAGTTCCCCCTCCCCGGGCGAACGTTTTCGATGGCATGTGGCTCTTCAAGGTGAAGCGGTCGCCTGGTTCATCGCCTGTGTTCAAGGCGCGCTACGTGGCTAGGTGTTTCAGTCAGCGTGAGGGAGTTGACTTCTTCCAAACCTTCGCCCCGACCCCGAAGATGACTACTCTTCGGGTGTTACTGCACGTAGCAGCACAGCGAGACTACGAGCTGCACTCCCTTGACTTCTCCACTGCGTTTCTCCAGGGCCGTCTACATGAGGAGATCTGGATGCCCCGTCCTCTTGGCTTCACTGACACCTTCCCACCTGGGACCCGGTGGAGCCTAAGGCGGCCATTCTACCGTCTCCGCCAGACGCCCCATGAGTGGCACGACACACTTCACTCCGCATTTCGTGACCTTGGGTTTCGCCCTTCCTCTGCCGACCCATTGCTGTTTGTTCGCACTGGTTCCACTCCTTTCTTTATACTAGTGTACGTCAACAACTTGGTCTTTGCTACAGCAGACAGGGCAGCTCTGAGTGAGGTGAAATCCGAAGTGCAGAAGAGACACAAGTGCATTGACCTCGGTGAACTCCGGTGCTACCTTGGCCTGCAGATCACCAGGGACAGAGCCGCTCGCACCATCACACTCACTCTGTCAGACATGGTGCAGCAGGTCCTTTGGCGGTTCGGGTTTCTGTTCTCCACCACACAGCCCACTCCTCTTGCCGTTGACCACCGACTCACTACCCTTTTCCCGACGAGCCTTTGAGTCTAGTGGCCCCTACGCAGAGCTTGTGGGCTTCCTCATATACCTGATGACTTGTACTCGGCCGGACCTCGCCTTTCCCCTCAGCATCCTCTCTCGCTTTGTTGCGACTGGGTGACACCGTCTTGTTCACTGGACAGCTGCTGTGAGGGTGGCGAAGTACCTTGCGACTTCATTAGGCATGGGGCTTGTGCTTGGACGAGCACAGCCAATTGTGCTGACCGGTCACCGCAAATCTTTCTACGCTGACGACGTGGAGAATCAGCGCTCGACTCACGGTTATTGCTTCAATCTGGGTGCTGTGAGAGAATTAGGAGAGAGAAGAGGATTGCACTAGCAAGAATGAGGATACAAATAGCAAACCCTAGAAGGGTTGTTATCGCTATAGAGCACCCCACTACAGGCTAGAGCATAATATTCTGACACACCCCCATAGCCAAAGTGGGGTGTAATCAGCAGAGCAAGCAAAGCAGTACAAGCTCAGGGTGGATCACAATGTCACCACACATTCTGAGCACAAGTTCAAGAAGCAATAGTTTAAAGTTCAAAATTTTGAGCAAAGCTAGTGGTAGTCACAACGGGCAAGTGAGGAGGAGGAGAGAGAGTGAGAGGAGAGGAGATAGGAGGCGACGGATGAAGCTGCAAACACACACGCAACAGGAGGCACACTGGCACAGCGGCTACGGGAACAATGCTCCGGAATACTGGAGTAACTGGCCCCGCGGCTGAAGTAGCGGCAGACGAGCAACGGACCCACGGGCGGCTGGCACAGCTGGCTACGACTGAGCCTGGCGCAGTGCGTACGGGCCACGCGCGGGCCTGGCGCAGCCCGTACGGGCCGCGCGCTGCCTGGACGGGCCGCGCGAAGGCCACGACGGGCGACGGGGGGCGACGCGCGGGTCCCCGTCGCATCGCCCCGCCGCGCGCCTCGGGGCGCACTGCAGGCAGAGAACCGCCGCGCGCCTCGGGGCGCACGGCGGGCAGAAAACCGCCGCGCGCCTCGGGGCGCACGGCGGGAAGAAAAACTGCCACACGCCACGGGGCGTGCGGCACCAAGTGTAGAGGTAGGAGTTGCAGCGGAAGCTAGGAGGTGGTAAGCCCACCCACAGGATCGATCCAAGGGGATCGACCCGCTCTGATAGCATGAGAAAATTAGGAGAGAGAAGAGGATTGCACTAGCAAGAATGAGGATACAAATAGCAAACCCTAGAAGGGTTGTACTCGCTATAGAGCACCCCACTACAGGCTAGAGCATAATATTCTGACATGCTGGTGTTGTATCCTGGAGGTCTACATGGTCGTCGTCTGTGGCTTCGTCTAGTGCAGAGGCAGATATCTACGCTGGTGCCATGGCGGCACAGGAGCTTCGCTGGTTGACTTCTTGCTCGGCGACCTTGGTGAGCGGCCTCGCTCTGCACCGACCTTGTACGCTGACAACAAGGCCATGATCCTCCTGTGTCGAGAGCCTCAACTGGAGAGTAGAGCTAGCATATTGATGTGAGGTACTTCCTCCTTCGAGAGTTGCAGCGATGCGGCCAGGCACGCTTGGACTTTGTGGCCTCAGAGGCCAACACTGCCGACGTCTTCAGTAAGGCCTAGGCGCCTGGTGACCAGCATAAGCTCCGTGTGCAGTTGGGGCTTGTTGAGGTAGGCCCTCGGTTGCTATAGACTTGCTGTTTGCTCTGCTTGTTGTGTTTTGCTATATATATTCTAGTGAACTCTTGAACTGGCCTTGTGGCCGCATGCTTGTGCTTGGAATTTGTGTGGTGTCTTTGAGATCCACCCTGAACCTTGTTTTGTTGCTTGCTCTTGACTAGTCTCGTGACCATCTGTGTTTCTTGCTCTCTCTTGCTGTCCCTCACTTAGCCTATGGGGGTGTGTCAAATAACAAATATGCATGTTAGTCTACAGTGAGGCACACACTAGTGAGGATACACAACTTTCTCGACTTTCCTATTCGTACCTTATTTCCTACTAGTCGACCCATCCCATCCCAGCTCCTTACCGTCATGGCCTTGATAGAAGACGTATATGTATTTTCTCGTACACTAGAAAAAATGGGTGGGTTATCTTGTATTTGGGGTGTCTTATAAGTCTTCCGTTTAGAAGATACCTCCTCGTTATACAATTGTCCCTAACCCTTACACTGGCTTAACTCGTACACACAAATAGGTGTCTTAAAATGAGGCTAGCCTGTTTATAAGAGACACCCGGATAATTTACAACCCGTGTCTACTACGGTATTCAACACTGTCTACTATCCGGGTGATGATGACGGTAGTTTCGAAAATGTTTCAAATTTAGTCCTAAGTTTACCCACAAAGTCTACCTTTGTGGAATTTCGCTCATGTGAGGCCCACATTATGTTCAAAACTCGTCCTGCGGGGCAAACGTTTCAACACATGCCCATTTCACACCAAGAATTTTTTGACGGGGCAAAAAAACATACCCCCTAAGGAAACAGGACACATTTTCGGGAGGGATCAACCCTAAACATCAAGCAGGTTCCCGTGTTTAGGGTTGACCCCCCCCCGAAAAAGTGGTCCTGGTTTCCCTAGGGGTTTTCTGCCCCGTCAGAGATTCCTGCTGTGAAACAGACACGTGTCGAAAGGTTAGCCCCGCCGGACCAGTTTTGAACATAACTTGGGCCTCGCGTGAGCAAAATTCCACAAACTCAGACTTCTTGAGTAAACTTGGGACTAAATTTGAGAGAATTTTAAAAATAAGGAGCTGGCATGTACCAATAATCAAGGTAAAGGTATCAAACAGCCTCATAATTGGCCTCGCATGGCCCAGCTAGGGGAGTAACGGCCACTCGCATCGCCGAAACGTTCGGTGGTGTAACCATAACGACCACCATCTCCACGCGCTCTACCGCTATCTTTACCAATACAAGCAGCAGCAGCATAGTCAACAACAGTCCCAGTTCTAGTAACATCAACACCACTAGTTGCAAGTACTCCAGTGTCAACACCACTGGCAAGTAATCCAGAGCTATAGTAGCCGTAGGTCCTGCCATTATCTGTCCCTGTGCCTCCAAACCCAGGGGCACAGCCATTCTTGTGTGCTTCAGCTTCAGAGAGGATTCTGGCCGGAGATCTATGGGGTGAGCGTAAAGGGGACTGGGTCGGGTGCAGAGGGGAGGGCGAATGGTGCAAAGGGGACTGGGACGGGATGTTTGGGGAGCGGAGGGGAGACATGTGCGGGGATCTGGTAGGAGAACGCAGCGGTGACATATATGGCTGTGCAGAACTAGCAGCTGCGGCAGCCATGTCTGCTGGTACGTTGCTAGGATACTCTGACCAATGCGCCCCCCCCCTTCCCTGTGGTTGGGCCTCCATTTTCCTTCCCTCTGTTCTCCCTTCCTCCATTCTCCTACCAGATGATGTTCTCCCGTTCGCTCCCCCTCTGAATTCTTCCCCTCTATATCCTCCTCCTCCTCCCACTCCGCGTCCGGTATCGGCTGCTTCATCCCTTTGCCACTGCTGCTGCTGCCACTGCTGCTGCCGTCTCTGCCATGTCTCCTCCTCCTCTCGCCTCACTCTCCCCTCCTCATCCTCCCATCCCTCCCTCCCTTCGGCATACTTCTCACCCCTCCGTCCTGACAAGCCCTCCATTGCCCGTTCCTGATCCCCCATTCTCTCCCCCCTCTCCCACCTTTCCCTCCTCTCTCCTCTCTCCCCTCTATCTTCCCGCCGCACAAACTCCTCTCCTCCCCTCTGGCCAGATCCTTCCCCCACATCTCTCTGCGCCCTTCCGCCTGAACCCCCGCGCTTCAACGATCCTCCCCTCACTATATTCCCCTCATCCCCCTCCCTCCCCCGCGACCCTGTCCGCTCACATGGGCTTCCCCCTCTCTCTCGCCCGCTCAATCCCCCCTCGTCCGCCTCCCGCCTGCCATGACTCCCCGTTCTCCGCCTCCCGCCCCTGTCCGCCCCTTCCCCCTCCGCTATGCCTCTCCGCAATCCGCCTTCCGCCTCCGCGAGCACCGCCACGTCCCCTCCGCGCCCGCCCGCGCGCCGCTCCGCGAGGCGCTCGCGAATCTCCACGAGCGCGCGCACCACGGCGGTCATGGCGGGGCGGGTCTTCGTGGGGCGCACGCACTGCAGCGCGATCTCGAACACGTGGAGCAGCGCGACTGGGTCGTATTCTCCGCCCATGCGCGCGTCCGCGACCTCCTCCACCACGCCATACTGCACGTACGGCGCAGCCCACTGGGAAATATGCACCGGATCGCTCCCGTCCGCGCCTACAGGAACCCCCGGCATCCCTGGAATTCCCGCGGCCCTTCTTCCGCCGCCTCGCCCCCCAGCGTCCGCTTCCGCCTCCGCCTTCCGCCCGTGCTGTTGGTTCGCTCCGCCCGCGCATTCGGGTTTCCCCATGAGGATTGCGCGCTGTCCGGTGAAAAGCTCGAGCAGTACCACGCCGAAGCTATACACATCCCCCTTAGTAGTCACCTTCGATGTAAGGTGGTAGTCCGGGTCGAGATACCCGGGCGTTCCCGCGATGCGCGTGAACGCGGCCTGTACCGTGCCCTGCGCGCCCCCGCCGTCTATGAGGTTCTTAAGGAGGCCGAAATCGCCTAGCTTCGCTAGGAGCTTGTCGTCCAGCAGGATATTATCGGGTTTCACGTCGCGGTGCACAATGGGCGGTGACGTGGCAGTGTGGAGGTAATTCAGCGCCTCGGCGGTTCCCACGGCGATCTCGAGCCGCTTGTCGAAGGTCAAGTGCGGCTGGTCGCGTACGAGAGCCGACCCGAGGGACCCGTGCGGCGCGAACTCGTAGATTAAAATATGCTCTCCGCCCTCCACGCAGAATCCTAGGAGGCGTATGAGATTCTTGTGAGACAGTCGCGAGATCACGAGCACCTCGTTCTCGAAGTCCAGCGCGCCCGCGGAGCCCGCGGGGAGGCTCCGCTTGGTGCGCTTGACCGCCCACGTCGTGCCGTGGGGCCCGCGGCCGCGGTACACGACGGCGAATGCGCCCTCGCCCAGCACGTGGCGGCGGCTGAACTGTCCCGTGGCCACGCGCACCTCGTCCAAGGGCACCTTGCGGAATAGCACCGCCTTCAGCTGCTGCTCCCACTCCGACTCCTTCTCCTGCTTCGCCTGCTGCTGCTGCTGCTGCTGCTGCTGCTGCTGCTGCTGCTGCTGCTGCTGCTGCTGCTGCTGCTGCTGTTGTTGTTGTTGCTGGTGCTGCTGTTGCTGCTGTTGCTGCTGGTGCTGCTGTTGCTGCTGTTGCTGCTGCTGCTGCTGTTGATGCTGCTGCTGTTGGTGGTACGGATGAGGAAGCTGATGTTGTTGCGGCGCGCCCATTGCACCGTTATACCCAGAAGGAACTGCTCCCAGCCGGCCGGGTCCCGCCATCCTCCCCGGCATTACTACCCCTGCCCCGCCCGCTGCGGGGACCATTGCGCCGATCGGCGGCGCGAGCGGATGCCGCGGTGACCGCATCGCCGCTGCCGCGTGGTGGGGCGCAGCAGATGGCGGGGGAAGCGGCGGATGAAAAGCGTGCGGCGGAGGCAGAATTTCCGTCTGGTTCGGGTATGCGCCTCCCCCACGGGGGAGCGAGTGCGAGCCGGCACTACTAACGTGATACGCGCCAATATCGCCGCCGCCGCCGCCTGGGACGGCACGGCCGGGCGCGCCCAAATGGCTTCCAACGGAAGAGGGGGAAGCGGCGCGGGGAGGGTATTTCATCGAAGCCGACGGATGGAGATACGACTGATCGTAGCCATTAGCGCTTGCGTGAAACGAGCCGCCAAGATGGTGCGAGGAGTGGCCCACGGAGAGCGATTTATGGGGGGCAACGGCCGCGGGGTTGATTCTATCTTTGCGTTTTCGGCGGCGAAAGCAGCAGCAGTAAATGCAGGAGGCGAGGAGGCCGAATAGGAAGGTCACCACGCCTGCTCCTATCCCGATTAGCGCCTCAACTGAGAAGCTCAAGGGCCCTATTCGCACCATGTTTAAGGAATTCTAAGCGCAGAGCGTGTTGCGCGTCCCTAGGGCGACGGAGAAGAGAAGAAAGTTGTGGATCAAGGCTGCAGGGTTCCGAAAAATGGCGTGGGATCGTGATGCTTGGTGTGCGCTAGTCACGCTTCTTTTGCTGCCGCCACCTGCTTGCGAACCTATTAGCCTATTTCGAAAAGTCTGCGTCCGATTATTTCTAAGAAACCCGCACGCTCTCAGATGCTCCTATGATAATCGAAGGGTAGAAAGCATCGTCGGGCTCCATCTTCGCGAGGTGCTTGAAAGAATGCGCTACGCAATCTCTATATCTGCATGTTCTCTATATCGTTTCTTGACTCGCCCGCCGAGGTCATGCTCGAAGCCATAGCTGGATACTCTAAGCCGAAGACCTGTTGGAAGCATGAGAGCATAGAAACGGAGGGACCAAGAGGAAGTGATTACGGTTCTAACTGCGCTGTGACGGTGACCACCGCAAGACCACGCTGTCGTAAGGCGTCATCCGCGGAGCATGTGGAAAGCGGTCGATCAAACGACTCGTCGTTTGAGTTAGCAGCTGTTTTAGGGTGGATGTCACCACTTAGTGATGTGTGCTTGTCACGGACATTGAGATTGTGTGATGTCGCCTGTGTATGGCTCGATTGAGTCAACTGTGGTCCAGAGATTACAAAAAGACGAACACGATGATGCTCTCTTGTACCAACTGCATTTTGGCAGGAAGACCGAGTGCCAGATTGTTGGCCCACGTTCTCGGATTTCGAACCGCAATGTTGAATGAAGCAAAGCAACCGTGCGCCGGGTCGCCTGTTGAGTGGGAGAACGCGGTTCGCATCCAAACTAATTTCGGGAATTGCGTTGGGTTGGTGGCGGGAAGTGTTATGGGTTGTGCAAAGAAGAGTGCACAGAATGCAATAACGCGGAAGTGATTACAACACTCTGAATAATGAAGCCTAGCAGAGATATAGAGAAGGATAGCTAGCCTGGTTCGCGGGACTGCGAATGGTTGGGTGCAGGTTCGGGGTTGGAAACAGGGCCTCAGATATCAGGAAAAAAAACCTGAAATTCCTGATTTTGGCAGCCGATTTTCAAGCTACCCTGAAAAGTCAGAGTTGGGATTTTTGTAGGACTGATATTTCAGCGTTTTTTTATTGGCCACACTGATATTTCAGGTTTTTTTTCCGTTGTACACTGATGCCACTACATTGTAACGAAACCGACACTGAAAGCGAATCTCACCTGTGCCATGTCACCTCGACCGCAATTGCACGGAATCTCAGATTCCCTGTATGTAGGCACCCCGTGGCGGGACCACCCTTAGAAATGTTGTCTTAGGTTCACGTTGAGAGGTGTTTTTTTGGCGGGGCGCCTCACACAATTGGGCCGTTTCGCAGCAGCATCCAGTGTTGGCGAATCCGAACGTGGCAGAAATATGGTGCTGGCGGGCTGCCAAGGTTCTTGCCCCGTACCTATCACGTGCGATGCGTTAGGTTTGGGCTGTGCTGGCAAGCACCGTGCCATCCTCCTGTGAAGAAATGAGGAATGAATGAACTAGTAAGCAGGTGGGTACAAGTAGGAAAACCTAAAGGTATTGTACCCCATATTGTCTACCCCACTACAGCCTACACAGACTACAACATATGAGTTTGACACACCCCCATAGGCAAAGTGGGGGAGAACAAGAGGTCACAAGACCAGTCAAACAAAGCAAAGCAAGCTCAGGGTGGATCACAACGTCACCACACATTCCGAGCACAAGTTCAAGGCCAGAAGGCCAGTTCACATGCAAGATCATATATATAAAGGTAAACAAGCAAGTGCAGGTATACAAAGATCACAGTACAAGCAAAGTGAAGAAGTGAGCAAGTGAGGCCAAGAAGGCACAAGACCTAGCATCGTACAGAAGCGCTGATGATCACAAGGCGGAAGTGCTTTGGTAAAGATATCAGCAGTGTTGGCCTCAGAGGCCACGAAAGCAAGGCGCAGCTGACCACGCTGCTGCAGCTGACCACGCTGCTGCAGCTGACACGCAAGGAAGTAGCAAAGAGAAATGTGCTTCGTTCTGTGCTCCAGTCTGTGCTCCCGACACAAGGCCAGCATGGCCTTGTTGTCTACGTACAGAACTGGAGGAGAACGAGGCGGCTCTCCTAGGTCAGTCAGCAGGTAGGTGAGCCAGCGTAGCTCCTGTGCAGCCATGGCCCCCGCGTAGATCTCAGCCTCACAGCTGGAGCCGAGAAAAGAAGACGAGCGGGTAGACCGCCATGAAACAGAGCCGGAACCAAGGCTGAAGGTGTAACCCTGTGACGACCACTACGTAGCCTGGTCGTCAGCCCAAGAAGCGTCTGCGTGACCTGTGAGGACCACTGAATGTCGCCCTCCAAGCACTAGCCCCATGCCCGACGTACTGCACAAGTAGCGCAACACCCTCTTCGCTGCAGCCATGTGCTCTGGTCGGTGTCTCCCAGGAGCAACATAGCGTGCCAAGATGCTAAGAGGGTATGCAAGGTCAGGTCGTGTGCAGGTCATCAGGTACATGAGGCAGCCAACAAGCTATGGGTACGGGCCACTCGGCTCTACGGACTCATCCGAAGGCAGAGCTGAGAGCGAGTGGCGAGTAGACAGAGGAGTGGCCTGAGGCGAGGAGTACGTGAAGTCGAAGCGCTGAAGGACCTGCTGCACCATGTGTGACTGAGTCAGGGTAATGGTGCGCTGTGCTCTGTCCCGGGTGATCTGCAAGCCAAGGTAGCTGCGCAGTTCACCCAGGTCTGTGCACGTGTGTCTCTTCTGCAGCTCGGACTTCACATGGGCGAGTCCAGCAGTGTCTGCTGTGGCAAAGACCAAGTCGTCGATGTACACGAGGATGTAGAACGGCGGCAGAGAGGTGTCGGTGCGCAGAAACAGCGACGGGTCGGCAGTAGAAGGAGCAAACCCAAGAGCCGCAAGTGTAGTCCTCAGTGTGTCGTGCCACTCACGGGGCGCCTGGCGGACACCGTAGACTGGCCGCCGGAGGCTCCACTGGGTACTAGGAGGAAACGACCTAGTGAAGCAAGGTGGGCGGCGCAGCCAGATCTCCTCGTGAAGGCTGCCCTGCAAGAAAGCTGTGCTGAAGTCAAGAGAGTGAAGCTCGTAGTCGCGCTGAGCGGCTATGTGCAACAGCACCCGAAGAGTGGTCATCTTCGGGGTGGGAGAGAAGGTCTAAAAGTAGTCAACTCCGTGCCGCTGATTGAAGCCTCGAGCCACGTAACGCGCCTTGAAGACAGGCGGAGAACCCGGCGGCCGCTTCACGCTGAAAATCCACATGCCACTGACGATGTTCGCCCCAGGTGGGGAAACCTCGTCGACGTAGGTGCCTGTGGACTTGCAGGAAGCCATCTCTGCGTCCATGGCTGACTGCCACTGAGAGGAGTAGGGACCCTCGATCGCCTCAGCGTACGATTGAGGAGTCGGGATGTCTGGTGCATCCGGGTCTCCCTTAGGGGCAATCAGCGTGGACACGAGATGAGGCAAAGCAGCAGCAAAATACTGGAACTCCTCGTGCCTGTCCTCAAGGACGTCCGTGCTAAGAGCACACTCACCCCCGACGGACGGAGGAAAGAAAGACTCAGACTCAGCAACAAGACTAGCAGCGTAGTCTAGACGACACCGAGCAGCAAAGTCAAGAAGCTCAGCAACCAAGGCAGACGCAACAGTGGACTCAAAGGAAGGGTCACTGACAACAGTAGCCAGGAGACGCGTGATAGTAGGACTGGCAGCACAAAGAGAGTCAGACTCCGGGTCAGCAAGGGCAGGAAGAGAGGACTCTGGAGGAGACGGCAACGGGACACGCAGAGGAGCAGTGGAAGGACGCAGTGCCATCTGGTGTATGCCTGGGACCGCAGAATGACGCGGACTCGGAGCACGACTACTAGTGCGAGCAGCACGAACAGGCGACGCAGGACGAGACGCAGGCGCACAACGCGTTGCAAGACCTCCAGTAGGACCAGTGTAGGGAGAAGGAGTAGGTAGGGGGGAGGCCGGGTGGAACTATGGCTGTGACTGGACAGGCTGTGGACACTCTAAGGGAGGAGCAGGACCATTAGAGGGCGGGAGACCAAGAACCTGCTCAAGGAGCGGAACGAAGTACGGCCGCAGCCGCGCAGCGCCTCCAGAACCAGCAGGGACAGCACCAGTACCCCCAGAGGCAGCACTAGCGCCAGCAGCACCTCCAGCTCCAACAACGCCAACTCCAGCACCCTCAGAAGCACCAGCCCCCAGCAAGAACGACTCCAGCAGCCCGAGCAGCACCCCCAGTCTCACTAGCTCCAGCACTGCCAGTACGAGCACCTCCAGGACCAGTAGCAACAGTAGCACCTCCAGCTCCAGCAGCACGGCTCCAGCGCCGGGCAAACAACTCGCGCAGCTCCTGCGGAGAGAGTAGCTCCCGCCTCGACAAAGCACCGCTAGAGGCTACACGACCACACCCAGCACCCGAAGGCTCCGCACCCCCAGGCTCCGTACCCCCAGGCTTAGCACCGCCAGGCTCCGCACCCCCAGGCTCCATACCCCCAGGCTCAGCACCCCCAGGCTCTGCGCTCCCAGGCTCAGCACCCCCAGACTCAGCACCCCCAGGCTCAGCACCCCTAGTAACACCAGAGTCAACAGCTACCTCGACAGGCTCGACTGCGTCTATGTGGGACACACTTGAAGGGGCAGGACCCTGAGGGGGGAGAGGGTCGACCGGGGGAGGACCTGGCGCA